GGGTAGGTGGCCGGGGGAGCCCCGCTCCGGTGTGTGCGGCCCGGGACGATGCTGAGGTCGGAGTAAGGGAGTCGGTGGTGCGGCCCCGCAATGGGCCCGCGCGTTCCCTGTGTCCAGGCGGACGTACAGTCCCGGGTGCGGCGTTGACCGGAGAGCCCCCAAAGGCCAGCTCCCAGCGCCCGTCTAAAGGTCACCGCGCCTCAGCACTGCCCTCGGTGTGTCTGTGAACCCCTCGAGCGACCTTCCCCTGGCACCTGCTTAAAAGGCATTTTCAAGAACGCCTTAACCCATTTTCCCACAGAGGTCGTGGTAGTTGCGGGCGGGGGCGGGGCGGGTAACTTAATTCTTCAGAGTTGGAAGAAGTGGAGAATTTGGTGAGTCACACCACATCAGAAGCTGCAGCGTTGGAAATCAAGTGCCGGCTGACTTTGGGATTTAAACGCTGACTGAATTTGGGTCGTATGAAACCCTCTTCTGAAGCTTCATATACTTGGCATTTTGCCATTTATCTTTTAAATGATAAACTGGAAGGGCGGCAAGTTTTATATGCCGACTCTGTTGAAAAGCTTGCCTGTATTTCTGTGGCTGCCAATAGTTGGTGGTACTAAGTAATAATAATAGCTGTTGGTTGAACTACAGTATTGGGAACACTCCCAAATATTCCCAATGAAATGTTACTGTAATCCACTTCCTAATGCTCAACTGTTGATTTTTACTAATTCCGTTTCGGTTTTCTTTGGGTGTTGGGGGAACGGGTCACCTTAGTAGGTTGACCTATTAGCAGCTTAGCTGTTTTATATATGTTTTTTAAATCTTACAAATGAGTTTTCTAGTATACAGAAAATTCTCATCTCACTTTGAAGCATTTTAACTTTGCTTTTCAGCATTGTGGCAGCATTTCATTTTAGTTCAGCACTGAGTTGTGTCAGTATTTTCTCGGGCTGTGGTGCTGGAGCATTTGTGGTTTAATGTGAAATTTGGGACCATGAGTTGTGTGTGTGTGTGTGTGTATATATATAGGCATATATATATATATATATATACACACACACACACATATATATATATCCATCCACAAGACAGGCTTCTTAACGATGCTGTGAATAATTGGAATTTAAGTGAGTCAAATTTAGATTAATTTATCCCAAACCTGGGCAAACTCCACTACTGGTTAATGAAATGGCACATCTACTGGAGTTGAATTTTAATGGGGAGCAAGCAGTGTGCTGAATTTCTTACTTCTTGGACCCTAATTTGAAGGCTTTTTGTTGTTTTAAAAGATTGAAGATAGACTCTAAAATAGCATATATTGCCAGCTCTTAATTTCAAGGTACAACAAACGATCATTTCATGGACTTTTAGGGTTCAGTGCTTACTCTAAATACAGACTTGACTGTGTGTAAAAAGCGTTGGAAAGACACAGTGGTGTAATTGGAAGACCTCCTCTCTCCCCCCCAGACTCCATAGGTTAAACCTGTTTTTCTCACAGAGCTATGTATGTGACCTTGTAGCAATCTTGTGGCTCTTTTTTGCCTTTGTCTAAGATTAATACAGATGTTCTCAGGCCCCTTCTAATATTCTGAGAGCATACAATTTCATCATAAATTAGTACTTTGTATTTAAGTACTGACATTCTGTTAAATAATCAGGCTTGGTTACTCCAATGAGGGCAAATGAAAGCAATGAAGAATGATAAGTCCAGTTTTCAAAGAGTTTAGGATTGTGTTGAAGAGGCCAGTGTGGTATGGAAATCAATGAGATGGAAGTGGAAATGTGTTAGAGGATAAAAGTGGAGTGGTGAATGCGAATTGTTTTTCATGTCTTTGTAAAACTAAAAAACTAAGGTTCAGTGGGGCTAATCACATATTCTCAGGCTAGTTCAGGTTTTATTTCCTAGGGCTAAAAAAGTATATGGACATAATATTTAAGGTTAGATAATACATACAGATTTCCATGGAATAAATCTTTTGAAGGCAGGCTCATCACCCAGCCCTCATACCGTTCTTAGTTTCCATCAGCTGTTTTGGAACTACACTAATCTTCCAAAGTAAATTAATTTGAAGGCAGCTTTTAGGTTTCTGGAATGAGTTAGGATTCATGTCTTGGAATGATCTATACCAGTGGTTCTCAACCTGTGGGGGTCACCCTGTTCATAACTAGCAAAATTACAGTTATGAAGTAGCAATGAAAATAATTTTATGGTTGGGGGTCACCACAACATGAACTGTATTAAAGGGTCATGGCATTAGGAAAGTTGAGAAACCACTGTTCTATACAATCTATTAAAACAAAAAGTTCCATTTTTATTTGTATGCAAGTATATATACTTGTGTTGGTTTCTAAATGGTATTTTTAAAAATCTTGGGTGTTTTTTTTTTTAAGGAATACTTTGCTTATAAGAAGGAATAATATTAAAAACTAAGGAATAATATAGTATTAAAAAGTAACCTCTATCCACCTGAAAGTTCCTAATTCGGGTGGAATGTTTAAATAGAGATAAAACTATACCTCAAGAGGTCATTGTTTTTAAAAAATCCTGAGACCACTTATAGGATAATCCCATAAAAAATTAGCAATGGTAGGTGTTCAAAATGGAGAGAATCCAAGGGTGAATATGGTTTTTATGTTAAGTAGTCAAACATTTTAAAGATATAATTAAGATTTGTATTGAAGCCAAGGTTGTTGGGTGTATAGTAAGTCTTGATATTGGGGGGAGTCATAATTTGTTAATTGTTTAAAAATATGTGGTGAGTGGATGCTATTTTGTTAGGCACAGTTCTATAGTAAGTAGCATTACCGTATGTATACCTATGTCCTGTTATGTTTCCTTCTACAAATTAGAAGTAAATAATAGCAACTTGTTTTAGAGTTAATAGCTATAGGAGATAGTCTTATTTCATGACTTCAGCAGTGATTGGACTTCGATATGATGTTTGGCAGTGTGCTTTCAGGTCTTTCCAAACTTGTAGAGAATGTTGTTTGATAGCCAGATTATTTTCCAAAGGAGTTCTTTACCTAGGTATGCTATTTTCCATTGCTCTACGAGCTCTATAAATAAAACTCCGTCACTAGGCTTTACTTAGTTTTAACATTTGTTACAGGAGTATGGCAAAAGCAAATGGCTCCTAATTAGATGAGCTGAAAAAATAATTTTGACCAAAATTAAATTTTTGTATGAAATGGGTAATATATTTTTTATGAGAGAAAATGGGTATGTTTAATTAAAAAGGTTGCTTGGCTCATTTCCATGGAAGTAATTTGGAAAATTGAGAACAAACACAAGGGGGAAGACAAATTAGAGGTTATTTTCATTATACTTTCTCATACCTAATTCTCTTTAATACATTCAGGTTAAGTTTGGAACTACAGTTCCAGACAGGCATAGTGACTTGACTACAATGGCTAACAATGAGCTTCCCTAGGCTTTTTGGTTCTAAGCCAAAAGGCTCTTCTCAGAAGAGGTGGTTATCAGGAAAGGCACACGTCAATCGGAACCAGGCTGAACTGTAGAATTTGTTTAAAAAAAAAAAAAAAGGATTATTTTATCCTTGTTGCTAGAAAGCTTCCTTGTGTTCCACTTTGTCCTGGAGGAGAAGACATCAATTATTTTTTTAATTTGGATGTGGCTAATGACATTTACTACTCCAGTAAAATAGGTGAGATGAAAATTCCAGGTGGTTTTCTCTGTGGTCTGAAACAGTATAAATCACAGTATAAATCATGATCTAGAGGCTGAGCTCTACAGTGTATTATTCCTTACAGTTTATCACTGCTCTTTTAAAAACAATGTCAAACTGGTTTGTGAGTGTATTAGCTTTTCATGATCTCCAAGGTCTGAGGCAGTAATACAGTTGGTTTTGGATTGAGTTAATGAGAAAACAGGAGAAGTGAACAGTCTTACTATAAAGATACAAAGATTCTCCAACTCTTTGCTTACTCCATCAATGGCAAGATGAAACTGGTATAGAGAGACTGGTGGGCACTAGAGGAACACATGTAGGGTAATGTTTGTATTGCTGGTCTGATGATTAGTTTGGACGACATACACTTGGAAAACCATGCGACATTAGGTTTGAGTCGAGGTTATATTGAGTCAATTTAAGGGTGCAGAGGAGATAAAGGAAAAGTTATGTGGGGTTCACTCATTGTCATCCAGTTGATTCTACCTCATAGCGACTTTGTAAGACAGGCTAGAACTACATCCTGTGGGGTTCCAGGGCTGTAACTTGATGGAAGTAGAAAGCTCCATCTTTGTCCTTTGGTGTGGCTGCTGGTTTAGAACTGCTGACCTTGTGGTTAGCAGATGTGGTAGGTTGGCTAGACTTGAGAGACATTTGAGTGCCTGTAAATAACTAGGAGCTGGGGTCTGAAAGAACTCTAAAGCATTAGCTGGGGTTAGCTGATTATCTGCATGGTAAAATGTCAGTCTGGCCTAATTACGGTATGTAGTATTACCTTGGTTCGAAATGCATGAACTAGGCAGTGACCGGGATAAGTATCCAATTGGAATACTTTTGAAATTAAACAGAAGCAGCTTCTCCATGCTCTGTTAGTCTGTTCTAACCTCTGCTTTAGTCACTAGGTTACTACTACAGACTCATCGGGTTTACCTTCCTGATATTGAGACTGAAAGGTTGAGGGTTGATGTCCGTTCTAGATTGTTTTTGGGAAACAAACAGTAGAGTTTATTTACCTGACTGATGTGTGCTCAAAGTGTCGTTCACGAAGGTGG